GACTGTGAGGTACCAAAATCCTGACTGCCTGCTACGTGTGGTCAGTCACAACACTTGATCTGAACTGTGATTAACAGTTGTGGTAGCTGTCTAGAGACCTCTTTCAATGGTGAGAAGAATTATCTTCAAGTTGCTGTGAAACAAAAGTACTTAAAACGACTAGAAGATGTGAAGGGGAAATGGTTTATGTCTTTTCAGTGTGGTCCAGTCAGGTCTCTAAGTGGAAGTGAGTCTTCTAATGTGGCACTTCAGTATTTCATTCCTGTCTACAGAAGTTTTAGTGATAATTGGATTACGTGTTGAAGACCTGAAAGAAATATAATCAACAGGAATTGTATTTTCATTATCTCTGGTTTTTAGCCTTGTAGTCCTGTTCTAGAAAAGCTCTTGGAGAAATTGGGTGGCTTTAGCTGTCACATAAACAGCCCATTTGACTAGGGTTCTAATCCATGTGAGTTGTCTTTCTTGATCAGGTTTTGTATCTCTTCTTATATTTGGTTAAAATTAAGTTAATATTTAAATAGTAAAAAATCTGATTTAAATAGGTAATAGAATTGGGCAAAGAATATCCTCTTCTTCTCATTAGGCCGAATGACTCTTCAGAGTTTCCTAAGTAATCATTTAATTATTAATAGTCAACTGTAGTGCAGGAAATGGTCTAACTAAAAAAAAACCCCAAACATTATCTGCACTCTGTGATAAATCAAACTCTCCACCAAGGATGTTATATTTAGAAATTCCTCAGTATTAATAAATATCAAGGGGACTTAAGAAAACAGATGTACATATTTCGTTGTCCTTGTCACCACTCTTCGGCATCCTATATGAGTTAATGATAACACTTAACTTTTGAAACTTACTAGCCTTTTTCAAGCATCACTCTTTCAACGTTACCTACTCATTGCTCTATACCTACCTGATCAGATTCAAACCTTATTAATAATTATGTCTACTATCTTTCATCCAAATTGTTTTATAGAACAATTCATAGAGGTCCTGATGGCTGCAATAGACTTGCCAATAACATTTAGTCCAAATTGGACCTTCTAGTATGAGAATGATAAACCTGGAATACTGTCTTTGGGAAATGATTTGTAAGTTCTCCTCTCCAGTAGTGCATCACAATAGGATATTGGTTAGTGACTCCTGACAGTATGCAGTTGTATTTTCGTACACCTTTAGATTTATAAAACAGTCCCTGTGTTATTGCTAGCATTGACTGGAACAACCTCTTATAGCAGAATCCATATGAAAAGAAATTGTGAATTGTGAAAAGCTCCCTTTGCAGTCAATGGCAAAACTTCCACAGAATTTACTGGTGTAGATATTCATGGTTTATGTTGATTCTAGGTAGTAAAATTTTTTTATCCTCGAGGGCAGAATGCCAGCACATTTTCTCCACCTCTCTTCTTTTCTCCCTTTATGCCCCCTTCCCTAATAATTGAAGTTACAACCGAAAGGATTTTAGATGATAAATTTTAAATTGCTGTATGAAGATGTTACACAAGTATGGAACACAGGGCGAGGTGATTCAGTTTTGTTACTGTTTATATGAGTTAAAACAACATAGGAATCCCATAGCATACAGTACTGATGGATTTTGGAAAAGAGTTGCTGTAAGTGCATACAAATGTTTGCTTTCATTCCCTAAACACAGGTAGCCTAGTAATGAAGCTCCTGCAAAATGAAAATTTTTATTTGTTTTATATGTCCTCTGCGCTGTGATGGAGATATTGTAATCTTCACTTCCTTGTCTGTAATATTAATTAATTTAAGAGTGCAATATGTCCTCTTGGAAAAATCTAGACAAGTCTACACAATCAGATCTACTGTGCTTGCTGCATTTCTTTTCTTTTATGCGGTTTCACAACAAACAGGCTCATGCTCTTATTTGTAGTAACTATGGAAACTTTAGAAGCTCTCTTTCTAAAGCTGGGCATACAATAAAGTGCTTAAAGTGTTGGTAGGATTAGAGACCCTAGAATATGTTTAATTTTCTCTCTGTGTCTCTATCTTTGGAGAGGAGCAAGAGGGTAATGTGAATATTAGCTGGGGACTAGCTTTAATCTCTGCTGACACTTTAGTCTGTCTAGGTCTGCATACAGCCATCCAAAGGTCTTAGCCTCACACAGCATGCGAACAAGGGAAATCATGCATATTCATGACTGAATTTACAATGGAAAACCTACATACAGAAAAGAGTTTTTGAGTGAGTGAAAACGTTATTGAAACCATTTTGCAGCTTCAGCTACAGTAGTCAATAATGATAAATGCCATAATGATGGTAGAGTTCATAAGATAATGGGGATATCTTAGATATTATGTAAGCATGAATGGATATGATAATAGGAAAACATAATTTGCTGGGGGGTTTAGCAGTGTTTTGTGTTGAAGGACATAAAGATGATGGTAACAGGATTGTTCCCAAGGCTGATACACAAAATAATTTTTGAGAGTACTTTTTTTCTCTGTGTGGCACTTGGCGTGATTGAGAACTGTCACTCTTTGAAAATTACTTTTATTTTTTTGGGAGGTATTCTTTTGTGCAGGTGCTGTATTTTATGCAGAGCTGTATTTTAGAGACATAACAAGAGAAGTCTGCTCCTCATCGTAGGAGGAGAGCCAGGGAGGGCTGTAGCATGTTTCTCACAGTCCATTGGGAGAACTTCATGTTACTTTTTGGCACTCATTAAAAGCCCTAAGTCAGACCTCCTAAAGACCTGCTAGATATCAGCCTTTGTTCATCTGCATTCATCGGCTTGCATGCTTTACTATTCTGAAATTTATTCTCACCATTGGACCTGATGAGTGAGATTCTGCTCATATATGATTTTATTTCTTTGGTATTTTATTGTTGTTTTATATAATCAAATGTAATCTTCAGTGGAAATACTTCATGTAACTTAAATGTAGCTTGACACTTCTCTTTTCACTTAACTATAGTAGTAACGCACTGACAGAAGAGAATATATTTATATTCTCTGTCATGTTCACCTATTAAGGCCTTGATGTGATAAATAATTTTTTTTCTTAATTTCTCTCCTCTGTCATTACTTCACGCCATAATTTTTTTAAATGAAGGAGGTGTACAGCACGTTTCCTGACAAAGTATCAAGAACTCTGCCAGAAAAGAGCCCTATAGTTGTTACTGCTTTGCCGTTTTTGATTTTCAGTTCTGGGCTGCTCAAATGTGAAAGTAAATATAAACTGCTGTTAAAAGGCAGGAGGCTGTTTCACTGATGCGTGCCAGTGCAGAATTGATTCCTGGCATTTATGTTTCTTCTGATGTTTGTCCAAGCTGCTCTTCATCTAAAAGCTTCTCTCTTTGTTGAAGATTCTTCCAGTGCTTTATGTGTCAGTCCCTTTTCTGTTCTCTTACAGCACCTAAGTAGTGCTGTGGTTAGGTATAGTCATAACCTTTTTATTTTTTGATCACCTGTATTCTCAGTTTATCACTTCCTATCTCGTAAATTAAATGTAAGCTGGTGAAGGCAGGACAGAGTCTTATATTAAGCAAGCTGCCTCTGCTACGTTCTGTTGTTCATCCACATGGCCTGGTGCGTCCAACAACCCAGCCTGAGAGACTGCCTCTGCTGTAAGTGTGTAAGTCTAAGGGGTAGCTGGAGGTGGCAGCAAGGTAGGCACAACAGTCAGTGCAAGGTGCGCAGAGAAACTGAAAAGACTGCTACTGTAAGAATGTGCATGGAGTGATACTGTAAGAATGTGCATGGGGTGATACCAGTAATAAATTAATGACTTTAAACTGGATTTTCCAAATGCTGTCATGATAGATTGTATAAGAAAGTCCAGTTCCTGTATTCTGTTCTGTTGGCTGAAGTTCCCATCTCCCACAACTGAGGAGTTTTCCCCTGCAGTCACCCCCTGGCAAATGCCCGTAAGAACACTATCTTATCTCTGCGCTTAGACACTGTCCAACCCAGAAGACGTCAAGGAGATGAGTAAATTATGCATATTCGTCTACTGGATGTGAAGCTACATGTAGTAAATAATTGGTGCCCTGCAGGCAAACCACTTTTGTGCGATTCAGAATGGCTTGCCTCCCATATGGGTAACTTGGGAAAGATTGTATCATAACATAGCTTTTCAGCTGCGGAATTGGGACTAACATCTCTGACACTTCATAAAATGAACACTGTGGTTCACTTGGAAGATGCCTGACTGATAATCCTGGGAATTTAAATCCTTTGTCTGTGGCCCTGACATGTGCCTCAATCCTGGCCTCAAGGGACCACCTTAGAAGGTGAATGAGTTGTGGCTTGTGCCCATTTAAACACGAGCAGGAGCTACCTGCTGGTGATCTTAGCGTCTGTTCTGTTGGCAAGTTTTTAAAAGCACCCAGGCACAAAGAACCGAGTTTAGATAACGTTAGAAGTTAAATATTTTTAAGTGTTTCCCACATTATTTGTGCTATTTTCAGTTGTTAACCTGAGTAAGATTCTCTTTTTCTACTTCAGCTTGTACAGTGAAAGTAATAGTTGTCTGTCTTGTGCCTGATTTATGGCTCCTTGCCAGTCCTTGAAAGTATAGTGTTGAAGTGTTTGAATCGTAAACACAGTGACTGCTTTTATTTTTATTTTTATTTTTTTTACTCACCAGGAAGATCATCGAAACATTTAAATTAATTGTAATTTTGGTTTAAAACAATATGTCCTTTTAATTCCTGCAGTTCATTTGTGGTGGGTTAGTTTTTTGATGTTGTGTGGGTTTGTTTTTTTTTTAATTCAAGGTGAAACCTAGTAAACTTGCCTGAAGTTAATGGACATACCTCATTTAAACTTTAATTACCTCGTACGCAAGTATTTGCAGGTTCAGAGTCATTGCCTGTAAATGCCTTACTTTGGCTAACCCTTGATTTCTACTGTTTTTCTGGGTTTGAGGGATTGGGGGCAGGGGGGTGGCAGGGGGAGGGGAATGCAGTAATAAATTAAAGTAAGCATTGTTTCGTCTTTAAATAAATGATCCTTAACTTTGTCCAACAGTTGTGAACCAGTGGGCAGTATATGCTATCCGAAATCTCACTGAACAGAATGAGAGAAACCAAGAGCTTATTGCACAGATGGAGGAGAAGGGGCTGGCAGACAATTCTGCCCTTGAGAGTATGGGTTTAGAGGTAGAGAAACAAGATGACAAGTTAATTCTGAGATCTGTCAGGAAAAAGCCCTCGTGAACAAAGAATTAAGAACAGTCAAATCATTAAAAGAGGATTTCTCTTTTAAAATATTTTTCCTTGCTTGGGCAATCAAGATTTCTTCAGTTTTAGTTCCAGTGTGCTGGAAGTGTTACGTTCATTCTCAGAAAAACTGCCAAATGATACTTGTGCCTCACTGTTGTAAACAAAAGGACACCTACACATTTTCTAAATACCTAGGTAAATAAACCTACGGAAAAAGGCCCTTCTTTCAGATGGGTGAAATTTCATTACTTTCTTGTTTCGTTAGTAGAAAGATGTCATGCGTGCAGTATTGAGTTGTTATAATTTCCATTGCTGAACCTGGAGATAACTATCATTAAAAACTCAACAAAGAAATAACTGCTTTGCAGTCTGCCTTCTCTGTTTAAAAGATCTGTGCTGAGTCAGGGCTAAACAATGAAACTTACTCGTTTTCAGTCATGGTGCTTAAATATCTCTGCTTATATAAGGATCAGTGGAACATTGGATGTACATAAATATTTAGTGAATTAAACACAATGTGCCTTCTGTGTATTTAAATTATTAGTAAATTGTCTTTTCTACCTTGTTGCCTTTCAGTCTTCATGACAAGTATATTAAAAACAAAGCTGAAGCTGTTGTGGCAACAGATGCTACATTCCTTTGCACTGGGGCATGTCTCTGTTTTGGAGACTCGGGTGTTTGTTTGAATTTTATTTGTTCCTTTGGATGGTAAGTCAGCCCACTTTCCTTTTATTTTGCACTTCTCATGGGTTTTCTGAACTCTGGCAGACTGCTGAAGAGGTAGTTTCTCACTGTGATTAATTCTAGCAGTTTCTTTTCACCCCTCTGCCTTTCCAAAACATTGACAAAACTCATTTCCAGTTAATTAATTCAAGAGAGGCAGAAGAATGGAAGGCCCTGCCTCTTCATTTTGGGTACCCTCCTATATTGTTGTTGGACCCTGCCACTGTGGAATGTGGCATGAATGAGATGGGGAGAAAAGGGGGGTGAAGAAAGGGTGGGGGGGCACAATTAACTCTGTCTGTGCCATAGCTTTGCCCTGGTAGCCAAGAAATGTAATCCTCTATGCAGAAGCAAAACAAGAATTACAGCTTAATATTATGGTGCTTGTGTATCATGGCTGTCATTTGGTTATCTTCGGTGTGTCCAACGGGAAGGTCCCAGGAAAGTTAAATTGTTCATGTTGTTGTCGTCACTTAATACCACCCTTAAATGGAAAGGCAAGTTTAAGTCCTAAAACTACATGTACGTGTAACAGATGTTTGGCTGTGTGCATCAGCTCTTGGGTTTTTTATTTGTTGGTTTGGTTTTTTTTTTTAATTTAAAAGTGGAAAAAACCACATGGTACTTTGAACTATGAGAAGCACATAGTGGTACTTAAAACTGATGGTGAGTATAGCTGGACTACGAAGATCTTTTCAAGTTAACTGTAAGATTTCAGTGTCTACCATGCTGACCAGGTGGAACTGGGAATTGACTGAGTGGGATTTTAGTCACCTGTTCTTTTTAAAGGCAATGATATAAAGCTGCTGTCTTTAGCCCTTTATGAAGTAAAGAATATATATAAAGGATAATGGCAATAGCAACAAAGACTATAACTTTTGTTGCTTTTAGTGACTTCTTACTTTAAAAACAAGTGGGGGAGCACAGTGTTCTTTGTTTTAGCAAAGAATAAATGTGAATATAAGCAAAGTGCTTTATTTGCTTTTTTCAAATAATTAGACAGGAACATTTCAGCGGATATTAAAGACTTGTATTTAAGTGCTGCTTTATAAAGTCATTTCTTATACAGGTATCTAGCCAAGTGGAAAGGATATATGTTTTTCGTTCATCTTGAGCACATGGTCTATCAGATTGTTGTTTCTCAATGATTTCCATAAGCCTTAATTCTTGTGTTTAGGCCAGAATTCATTTAGCAGTGCAATCACTGTGTCACATAAGATTTACAGCTGGTTTTGTTTTATAACACAATGGAAAATTCATACTTCTAGCACCTAAATGGCAAAAAAAAAAAAAAAAAAAAAAAATTCTACCCAAAAAAAAAAAAAAGTCTTACTCAGAAGGCTGCATCATTCAGCTTTTAAAAGGAAATAATTAAACTTTTGTTAACAAAGGAGCATCAAATATAATAGCACCCAGAATTAAAGTGAAGTAATTTTCAATTGAGTAATTATACAACTTTAAACATTTTTTATTTTAGCACCACTACTAAGGAAACTCATGTTAGATAATTTAACAAAGAAAAACATAACATAATTATCCTGAACAGAAAATTAACTTTCTGTGTAAAGAAAAAAAAATGCAAAGAATTTCCTTTTATTTAGGGTAATAAAGAGTTAAAATCCTGTTCACAAAGCAAATCCAGAAAGAACTTTGGTTGTGGAAAAAGCAGTGGGAGTCCTTTTTTCCTTTTAAGCAGTTGGGAATAGACGGGTTGTGTTGGTTTTTTTTTTAACTTGATGGTTGTGTACCCACCAATGGAATACGCACAACCCCATAAATATAAGCCAAATAATAACAAACACTAATAAATAAAAGGGTTTTGTGTGTTTCAGTACATAATGGAGTAATAGTTGTGTTTTCTAAATGGGAAATGTAGGGCTTTCACAGTGGAGAACATGCTGATTACTGTATTGTGAGTGGCTGGCTTTTGATTTTCCTAGATGGATTAATTCTTAGAACACAACAGCTCCCCTGTCCTCCCCCAGTGGAGTCCCGGTCTCCAATAGGCTTGTTTTATATGCTAGGGGATTAATACAGCACAGCAATCGGTCATAAAAAGCAAGCTTTATTGAGTTTGTAAAGGGGCAGAACAGTCAGATCAAGTCTTGTGACCATCTTATTGCTTTCGAGTGCTTCCAAACAATGGTGATCAGATCTTTTTTTTTTTTTTTTAAGGGTTTTTTTTTATTAAAAGGGAATAGGGAGTTGGTGGTTCATCATTAAGTGGCTAAAGAGCTTTCATGCAAATTGTGAGAAATAAGCTTAAACGTTTGCAAAGCTCTGAATTTTTACTGCTTCTGATAATTCATGTTCATTTTGCCTAAAGCACTTGTAAAATACATTTTAAAATGCAACCATCAAAAAATAAAATCCCGAGCAGTTAATGCCATTGTCACAATCTTTCTATAGCAGTAGATTTTATTTTTCGAGGTCGGTGTGTTTGCGTAGCGAGGCTCCAAAAAAACCTCCCCTTTATTTGCAAATGAAAAAGTACTAAAAATGTGAGGCTGTACCCCGAATTACCTTAAAATCTTTGTACCCAGCCTTATCTATAGCATTGTTTTATGTTGACTTAGGGTCTGCTGTCTTACAGTGCTCTGAGTACCCTTCTTCCTCTGAAAAGTTGAGGGAGGAAAAAAAATGAATGAAGAAATGGAGGAGAAGGCCTTTCCCTTCCTTCTGAAGGTGCCTGA